ACTTAGCAAATATCTTCAAGGTCCATCCATACTGTAACATATTACAGAACTTCCTTCCTTTTTAAAGCCACATTGTAGTCCTTATATGTATGTACCACATTTTGCTTATTCATTCATTGGTGGATGGATACTTGCGTGGCTTCCATTTTTTAGCTATTGTGAATAATGGCATTATGAACATGGATGTACAAATATCTCTTTGAGATCCTGCTTCCAGTTCTTTTGGGTATGTATGCGGAGGTGGAATTGCTGGATCACATGGGAATTCTATTTTTAGTTTTTCTGAAGGGCTGCCATACTGTTTTGCACAGTGGCTGTACTATTTGACATTCCCCACAACAGTGCACAGGGTTCCAATTTGTCCAAATTCTCCATAACACTGGTTTTCTGTTTTTTAGATAGTAGCCATCCCAGTGGGTGTGAGGTGGTATCTCATGGTAGTTTTAATTTGCACTTCCCTAATGTTTAGTGATATTGAGCATCTTTTCATGTGCTTACTGGCCACTCAGATATCTTCTTTGGAGAAATGTCTGTTGCAGTCTTTTGCCCATTTTTTTCCTTCAAATTTTTATTTAAATTTTTTTTAGTTAACATACAGTACAATTCTTTTTAGTTAACATACAGTACAATATTGGTTTCAGGAGAATTCAGTGATTCATCACTTACATACAACACCCAGTGCTCATCACAAGTGCCCTCTTTAATACCCATCACCCTTCTAACCCATCCCCCACCTCCCTCACTCCATCAACCCTCACCTCAGTTTGTTCTCTAAGAGTCTCACGGTGGGGTGCCTGGGTGGCTCAGTTAGTTAAGCATTTGCCTTCGGCTCAGGTCATGATCTCAGGTTTCTAGAATTGAGCCCCTTGTCAGGCTCCCTGTTCACCCTCCTCTGCCCTCCCCTCCTCCCCCTGCCACTGCTCGTGCTCTCTAATAAATAAAACCTTTAAAAAAGTCTCTTATGGTTTGTTATCCCCTCTCCCCCCGCATGTTCTTCTGTTTTGTTTCTTAAATTCCATGTATGAGAGAAATCATATGGTATTTATCTTTCTCTGACTTATTTCCCTTAGCATAATACACTGTAGCTCCTTCCATGTCCTTGTAAATGGCGAGATTTCATTCTTTTTGATGGCTGAGTAATATTCCATTGTGCGTATATACTACATCTTTATCCATTCATCAGCCGATGGACATTGGGTTCTTTCCATAGTTTGGCTATTGTTGATAATGCTGCTGTGAACGTAGGGTGCATGTACCCCTTCAAATCTGTAGTTTTGTATCCTTTGGGTAAATACCTAGTAGTGCACTTGCTGGGTCGTAGGGTAGTTCTATTTTAACTTTTTGAGGAACCTCCATACTATTTTCCAGAGTGGTTGCACCTTTTGGCATTCCCACCTACAGTGCAAGCGGGTTCCCCTTTCTCTGCATCCTCACCAACATCTGTGGTTTCCAGTGTTGTTAATTTTAGCCATTCTGACAGGTGTGAGGGGTATCTCATCTTTTGCCCATTTTCAAATTGGGTTTTTGTTGTTGAGTTTTATAAGTTCTCTACATATCCTGGATATTATCCCTTATCAGATATATGACTTGAAAATACTTTCTCTGGGTGCCTGGGTGGCTCAGTTGGTTAAGCGACTGCCTTCGGCTCAGGTCATGATCCTGGAGTCCCAGGATCGAGTCCCACATCGGGCTCCCTGCTCAGCAGGGGGTCTGCTTCTCCCTCTGACCCTCTTCCCTCTCGTGCTCTCTGTCTCTCATTCTCTCTCTCAAATAAATAAATAAAATCTTTAAAAAAAAAAAAAAAAGAAAATACTTTCTCCTTTCTTTGGGTTGCTTTTTTACTATGTGGATACTGTCTTTTGGGCGTTAATCCTTTTTTTAAATGTTTGATAGAGGAGTGCCTGGGTGGCTCAGTCGTTAAGCGCCTGCCTTCAGCTCGGGTCATGATCCCAGGGTCCTGGGATCAAGCCCCGCATTGGGTTCACTGCTAGGTGGGAGGCCTGCTTCTCCCTCTTCCACTCCCCCTGCTTGTATTCCCTCTCTCGCTCTCTCTGTCAAAATAAATAAATAAAATAAAATAAAGTGTTTGATAGAAAATAAAACAAATGTTTGATAGAATCACCAGTGAAGTTATCTTGTCCTGGGCTTTTCTTTCTTGGGATTTTTTGTTTTGTTTTTTAAATATTTATTTAGAGGCACCTAGGTGGCTCAGTTGGTTAAGCAACTGCCTTCGGCTCAGGTCATGGTTCCAGGGTCCTGGGATCGAGCCCTGCATCGGGCTCCCTGCTCGGCGGGAAGCCTGCATCTCCCTCGCCCTCTCCCCCTGCTTGTGTTCCCTCTCTCGCTGTCTCTGTCAATTAAATAAATAATCTTTTTTTTTTTAAGATTTTATTTATTTGACAGAGAGATAGAGAGCACAAGTAGGCAGAGAGGCAGGCAGAAGGAGAGGGAGAAGCAGGCTTCCTGCCGATCGGGGAGCCCAATGCGGTGCTCCATCCCAGGACCCTGGGATCATGACCTGAGCCGAAGGCAGCTGCTTAACCAACTGACCCACCCAGGCGCCCCATAAATAAAATCTTTAAAAAAAAATAAAGATTTGGGGCGCCTGGGTGGCTCAGTTGTTAAGCGTCTGCCTTCGGCTCAGGTCATGATCCCACGGTCCTGGGATCGAGTCCCGCATCGGGCTCCCCGCTCGGCAGGAAGCCTGCTTCTCCCTCTCCCACTCCCCCTGCTTGTGTTCCTGTTCTTGCTGTCTCTCTGTCAAATAAATAAATAAAATCTTTAAAAAAATTTTTTTAAAAATAAAAAAAGATTTATTGAGAGAAAGGAGAGAGTATGTGCGCGTGCGAATTGGGGGAGGGGCAGAGGGAGAGAAACTTCAAGCAGACTCCCCACTGAGTGTGGAGCCCAACACAGGGCTCCATCCCATGACCCATGAGATCATGACCTGAGCCAAAACCAAGAGTCGGACACTTAATCGACTAGCCAGCCAAGTGCCCCATCTTGGGAGTTTTTTGAATACTGGTTCAATCCCCTGACTAGTTGCAGGTCTATTTATATTTTCTCTCTCTTCTTGAGTCGGTTTTGTTAGTTTCTGTGTCTACAAATTTGTCCATTTCAATTAGGCTATCCAGTTTGTTGGTGTACACTTGTTCACAATATCCTGTTATAATCCTTTCCATTTCTGTAAAATTGGTTACAGCATCCCCATTTTGATTTGACTTTGATAATTTGTCTTTTTTCTCTTAGTCAATTTATTTAAAAGTTTGCCAATTTTCTTGACCTTTCAGAGAAGCGGCTCTTGGTTTTGTTGATCTTCTCTATCGTTTTTTAGGATTCTGACACTAATTCCTAAGTGTGTATTTTATTCCATACCACCAAGCAATTTTCCAATGCCAACTGCACGTCCTGCAATTCAACTCAATTCTGAGACCATCTACCTGGAGACAACCTCAGATCTACTTCCTGCTCTGGCACCAGTCAGCTGCTTTTGCAACTGGAGCTGCTATCCCCACAACCATGAGGAATAGGGGATGGTGGCTGGTTCAAGCCTGGCTCTTCCTCCATCAAGTACTTTCCTAGTTGTCTAATCAGGTATCAGAGTTCTGAAATAGTTGATTATATTCGCTCTTTCCACTTCTTTGTATTTAGGTCTAGCAATAACTGTTTTGTAACCATCACCACTATCTATTTCTAAAACTTTAAAATCACCCCAGGCAGAGGGAAGGTAGGTGAAATAGGTGAAGGGGATCAAGAGTACCCTTATTGTGATGAGCCCTGAGTAATGTATGGAAGTGTTGAATCACTATATCGTATACCTGAAACTAATATAACACAGTATGTTAACTCTCCTAGAATTAAAAAAAAAAATTTTTTTTTTTAAGTAGGCTCCATCCTGGGCCTGAACTCATGACCCTGAGATCAAAACCTGAGTTGAGATCAATAGTTGGATGCTTAACCAACTGAGCCACCCAGGCACCCAACTGTACTGAAATTCTTTAAAAGCTGGGGTGGTGGGGGGTGGGGGGGTAGTTTATATAGCGAGAAAACAAATCACCCCAGACAGAAACTCTCTAACCATTAAGTAAGGACTCCTCATTTTCTCCTCACTCTAGGCCCTGGTAACCTCTATTCTATTCTACTTCTGTCTCTGAATTTACCCATTCTAGATACCTCATTTAAGTGAAATCACACAGTATTTGTCTTTTGAGTCTGCATTATTTCCTTAGGGGTCATAAGTTCTTAACCTGCAATGCTGACTCATCAGGTTCTCACAATTGGGAGGTTAGTGCTACTGTCCCCACATCAAAGAAGCTGAGACACAGAGAGGCTAGTTTGCCTAAGATCACTCGGCTGGCTATTAGGCCGCCGCTGACTGCACCCCTAAGTCGAGACTGCACTTCCCCTCATCAAACCTTGGTTCAAGGTGGCAGCAGAGGCTCCAGCTCCCATAACCAAGCATTACTTTCTCTCCGTGATGCTCCTCCAGGTGCGCTAGAGGCAGCGGGGCATGCTCGGCCCGAAGCATGAGGGCACTCACCTTCACTCCCGGTGCCAGGCCCGTGCTGGGCCCCGCAGAGACAGATGAACCCCCTTCAGTGATGAGAAAGGGAAGCTAGAGGTCACAAGGGGAAGTCTAGGAGAAAGTGCTCTTGAAGTTAAGACTCAAAGGTCACTGATTATTTATTTTGCTTGATGGGAGTTCCCTGTATGGCTATACCTATTAACCCATCTGCTTTCCAGCCTCTGGCATTTGGGCTGTGCCCAGCTTGGACTGTGGACAAAACTGCAGTGGTCTCATTCCTGCTGGAGTCTCCTTGTGCCCTAGGAGGGGGCACATGCCTAAGGGTAGGACTACTGAGTCTGAGTCTAGGCGAAGGCCCTACTTCAGAAAATTATGCCAAACGGTTTGCCAAAGTGTTGATGCAAATTCATACTCCCAGAGCCATGAAGAAAAAATTCTATCTTTTTTATTTTACATAGAAATCTTCCCCCCCCGACCCTCCAATCTTCTCCCCACCATGATCCCCTCATTCCCCATCCTGGTCGGTTCTGGCCACGCCTTGCAGCAAGTCAGAAGCAGGCAAAAGCTTGGGCAGGCTGAAGCTGCCCAAGAAGCCTCAGGCACTTTGGTCCACACAGTCAATAAAAGACCTTAGTCTGGAGAATCAGAAGCAGCCCAGCCACATCTGGCCACAAACAGGAGCCTCCAACAAGGAGGAAGTCCTGCTGGCCTCACTTCAGCAGCCACATATAGGCCCAGTACGGAAGACCCAGTGGGGGGGGGGGGGGTAAGTGCAGGTAAAGCACAGTTTCTGGGACTCACCCTCACCCCCATCTTTTTGTCTACCCTTGCCCTTGGTGCTGGTCCTCGAAGTGGGGTCTTGCCCCCCAAACCCCTTGCTGAGCCAGTCCTGGCCTATGAATTGGAGGCATGTATCTGGCCATTGATCCGGCTCACTATTCTCACTACCACAGGAAGGTGTCCAGCTTGGCCTGGGAAGGAGGGAGCGCTTTCTTCACCCCCACTCTCTGCTTAGTCTTGGGCTTGGGTTTCACAGGCAGTGGGTGGATCATCGTCGTGTCAGTCTGAAGAAGCCGTCAAGGAAGAGGCCTAAAGAGAAGACTGGGCAGCAAAGGCTTAGGCTTGGGGGGTGGGCAGCTCTGCTGTCCTGAGGGAGGTCCAGCTCCACACAGCTGAGACTGTAGCCACTGCCAGGCTGGGGCTGGGGGGTACGGGTGAGGGACGGTGTGGCTAGCTCAGCTCAGCCCAATGTCACAGAACAAGGATACAGGTTGGATGAATTTTGTCCGACTTCCAAGCCCATCGAAGCCTGTCCTTACCTAAAGTAGAAGGAAGAAGTGAGTGGGCCAGATTAATAGGCTAGGGGGCTGGCCCCCCAAGAGGGCTGGCACTTGCCACTCGTGGGAAGCCATACTCACTGTATCTCTGCTGCGACAGGGCTCTGCCTTGGCCCTCTTGGGCTGTTTCTGGCCTAGGACGGCATTCCGGATGAAGACGGGAAAGGCACTAGCTAGCTCCTCATCTGGCTCTCCCACACAGTGCTGGCCGCCCAGTGAGAGCTGGGACTCCTGGAGGGGAGACCCCAAAGCCAGACTTGATGAGCCTGATGGCAGCAAAGGAGGGGGCGGGTCGAGGTGGTAGAACAGGACCAGGATCTCTGACGCCTCACCCGGAGGCAGGAAGGTTAATGAGTAGAGTTCCCAGGTAGCTCCAAAGTGTTTCAGTCCTGGGCCAGGAGTGAGAGGGCTCTGGCAAGACCCTGCCCTCTCAGAAGCCCAGCTTCACACTTGGTCCTGGCAAGGGTTGGATGGTGACTGCCTGACTTCTGGGAAGCCTTACCTGCTTAGCGCCTTTGGGCATCTTCTTGGGGATGTCCTGAACGGGAGAGCTGCGAGAGCGAGACATGAAGGCAAGAGGCAGGTGAGCAAGACACAGGGCCGGGCAAGCCAGGCTCAGCACACGGCCCTTGGGGAGCCACCATGGGGCACGGCTGCTGTAATGGCTGTGTGCTGGGCAAGGCCCCTCGGTCAGCCGCACCCCAAGTGCAGGTCTGTGAAGAGCTGGACAGTCACAGCTGCCAGAGTGGGGAGGGGGAAGTTGGACCATTTTCCAATCTTGCGGCTTCCACTTGGAGCCAAGCCAATGTGAATGCTCCCCAAGGCCTCAGGCACCCCACCATGTCCTGGGCTCTATGTGGGGATGGAGATCCACCACCCACAGGAGGAAAGCCAGTCATGTCCTGATACAGGCAGAAGGTACCTCATGAGCTCAGACTTAGCTGCATCTGCCCAGAGAGGGGCCACCACCACCCTAAGACCCTCGGTAGAGAGCTCATAAAGTGCTCCCATCACACAGGACTAGGTCATCTTCCTAGATAATCTGTGCAGGCAGGGTCTGGGGGCAGAACTGATCATGGCCCCAAGCCCTGGCCATTCACTCCCAGCTCCAGAACTAGACACAGTGTTTCCATCCAATTCCTGGGGACACTAGCAGCTGAATACCCTTTCCTGGTATTTTCCCAGGTGGGTAGAAGGACGGTAACCTAAGGCTGACCCTGTGGCTTCTCAAAGCCATGAGGACAAAGGCAAGATTGGGCCTGTCAGCTCTGGACCCCACCACTCCTGCCCCCATAGACCGTGGTGAGGCTACATGATGACCCTGGGAAGATTGTCCACTTGCTGCGAGTTTGGCCCTGGGGAGGCTGATCCAAGGTGGAAGCATCCTGGGTTCCCTCAGCCTCCCTGCAGGCCCTGAAGATGATAAAAATGTCTCACCCTTTACAGCTAAAGAGACGACATGAAGAATCCAGGGCATGCAGCAGGCACTCGTAGGTCCCCTGACGGCAGCCCGCACACCCAAGGGTTGCTTTCCACGGCTACCAGGCCCGGCCCTGTACGGCCCAGGTGCCTCTAGCCCCAACGGTAGGGAGAGGTGGAGAGTCCAGCTGGCTCTCCCTTTTGCCCTCTCCCCAGGCCTCTCCCACCTTCACTGCTTAACACCTCAATTTCTTTCTCTCATGTGCAAAGTCTCCAATTAGGAGGAAACCCACTCTGCCCTTGACCCCCTTTACCTGAGCAGCGTATACCTACATGTACCTACGGGAGTAGTTCTCGTCTCCCTGATGAACCATACTTGGCCTGCCTGGTCAAGCAGATAACTTGCCATTCCCAGTCCACTGTGCCCCTAGTGCAGGTCCCACCCATCCCACTGCAGCTCCCCACAGCTTCTTACACCTGCCCCTGCGGAATACCCCCTTAGGTGGTGGGGCCCTGGGCTCCATGATTTGAGATGGTTCTAAGCAAGAGCCAAAGAGGCACACAATGGAAGAGGAAGTTCAGAGTCCCTGGCTCAGGACTCTGGTGGGCAGGCATTCAAGGTATGGGGAGCACACACACCTTCCAACATCATCAACCCAGACCTGCCCCTACTGGGACCCCTGTGTTCTCTCCAACTCACATCACAACCCCTTTGCCTAAAGGGTGGCAGTGATGACTAAAACAAGCAAGAGAAGAGCTTTGCACAGAGTATTCAGGAGAGGGAAGAAGAGGTGGTCAGAATCAAAGTCATGGTCAACCCCAGGTAACCCTCACTGCCCTATCAGCCACTCGGAGTGATGAGGGCAGGGCCTGCAGAGACCTCTTGGTCATCCTCCCTCGAGGCTGTGGACAGGGCCAGGGACTCCCACTTACTGTGCTATCTCTTGGCAGAGCTTCTTGGCACGGCCATGATGGATGCTGGAGGGCTGGGATGGAGGCGTGTCGACATCAAAGGTGGCGTTGAGGTCAATGTCATCACCAAAGGCTGGTCGGCGAAGCTTCAGGCTCAGCATCTCCATGGGGGCTGGGCTATAGGCAGAGTTGGCCCGGTTACTCTGGACCACCATGGCAGTCCAGAAGGACAACAGTCCCTAAAGCATCAGAGATGGCTTGGTTCCAGGGGTCTGGAGCCCACACCTGGCTCAGGGCCATCCTGCAAGGAAGCCTGAATCTCTACAGAAAAAAACCACTTGGCTTAGTGCTTCAGACATGGGACCAGTGAAAGTCTTCAAGACATGGAAGGAAGCAAGCAAAACACACACAAAACCCAAGAGTACAAACAAAAGGTTGCCTTTTGACCAAACAGCTTCATTTCTCAGAATGCAGTGCAAGGGGCCAGAGATGTGACCACAGATTGATATAGATGGCAAATGGCACAATATTGGAAATGGTCAAATGACTCCCCAGGGGGCTGGCACTTTCACAGCCTGAATATGATGCAGACATTAAAGTAGTGTTTCTGGAGAGTAAACTTAATAACATGGGGAAATGCTCATACACTACATTTAAAAAGTAATACAAAACTCTGTATACTAGGCGATAAAAGAAAAAGAAGACAAGTTGGACTTCAAAAAAATTCAAAATCGTGTGCATCAAAAGACACAATCAGGGCACCCAGGTGGCTCAGTCAGTTGAGCATCTGACTCTTGGTTTTGGCTTGGGTCATGATCTTGGGATTGTGGGACTGAGCCCTATATTGGGCTCTGGGCTTGGCGCAGAGTCTGCTTGTCCCTCTCCCCCCTGCCCCCATGCTCTCTCTCTCACAAATAAATAAATAAAATCTTAAAAAGACACTGTCGGGGCGCCTGGGTGGCTCAGTTGTTAGGCGTCTGCCTTCGGCTCAGGTCAGGATCCCAGGGTCCTGGGATCAAGCTCTACATCAGGCTCCCTGCTCGGCGGGAAGCCTGCTTCTCCCTCTCCCACTCCCCCCTGCTTGTGTTCCCTCTCTTGCTGTGTCTGTCAAATAAATAAAATCTTAAAAAAAAAAAAAAAAAAGACACTGTCAACAGAGTAAAAAAGCAATCCACAGAATGGAAGAAACTATTTGCAAATCATCTCTCACATAGAGCTAAAATCCAGAATATAGATAGAACCGAAGCTCTATAATGGAAAACAAACAACCTAGTTCAAAACTGTGCACAGGGCTCGAATAGACTTTTCTCCAGAAACGATCTACAGATGGCCAGTAAGCCCATGAGAAGATGCTCAACGTCACTCGTCATTAGGGTGATGCAAACCAAGACTACCATGAGATACTACTTCACACCCACGAGGATGGCTGCTATGAACAACAACAACAAAACCCCCAAACAAACAGAAAATAACAAGTGTTGGTGAGGATGTGGTAAAACTGGGACCCTGGGGCACCCTGCTGGCCCAATGTGTGGAGCAGGCAACTTGATCTCAGGGTCATGAGTTCGAGCCCCATGTTGGGTATGGAGATTACTTAAAAACAAAATCTTGAAAAAAAAATTGGAATCTTTATGTCCTGTCGGTGGGAATGTAACATGGTACATCTGCCATGCAAAATAGTACAGCAGTTCCTCAAAAAATTAAAAACAGAATTACCGTATGATCCAGCCGTTCCACTTCTGGGTATACAGCCACAGCTGAAAGCAGGATGTCGAAGAGATATTTGCACAGCCATGTTCATAGCCGCATACTCACAACAGTTAAAAGGTGGAAGCAACCCACATGTCCATCCACCAGCGAATGGATAAGCAAAATGTGGTATATACATACAATGGAATATAATTCAGCTTTAAAAAGGGAAGGAAATACTAACACCTGCTACAACATGGATGTACCCTGAGGACATTATGTTGAGGGAAGTAAGCCAGTCACAAAAAGACAAATACTGAATGATTCCACTTATATGAGGGATTTAGAGTAGTCAAAATCATGGAGACAGAAAGTAGAATGGTGGGTGCCAGGGGCTGGAAAACAGAAGTTATTGTTTAATGAGTAGAGTTTCAGTTTTTCAAGGTGAAAAGCGTTCTGGAGGTGGCTGGTGGAGAGGAGACCACATTATGTATGTAATGCCACTGAATTGTGCACTTGAAAATGTTGCTAAATTTTTTTTTTTTAAAGATTTTATTTATTTATTTGAGAGAGAGAGAATGAGAGAGAGCACATGAGAGGGGGGAGGGTCAGAGGGAGAAGCAGACTCCCTGCCGAGCAGGGAGCCCGATGCGGGACTCGATCCCGGGACTCCAGGATCATGACCTGAGCCGAAGGCAGTCGCTTAACCAACTCAGCCACCCAGGCGCCCGCTAAATTTTGTTAGGTATGTTTTACCACTGTAATTTGGGAAAACAACTCTATGGAAAGTACAATTTTGGTGCACACACATCCCCCCACCACTTTCCCCACATACAGAGAAAAGACTAGAAGAAAATAAACCACATGTCAACAGCGACCTCTGCACTAAGTCCGTATTTTCCAAATTCTCAACAATGAATGTGTTGTTACTTTTATAATGGGGGGCGGGGGACTGGTATTCTGTTAGAAAACTGCAGCCACTAGGATTTTTCTAGTCCACCCAGGCCTGGTGGGGCTCCCTAGCTCCTGTGGTCAGAGAACTCTGGGGAGTGGCAGGGCAGCCCCAAGAACATCCTCTATTTCCTTCCCTTAGGGACCTTGTCATCAGGGCTGCCCAAAGCCCTACTCCCACTGCTCTAGGATGGAGGGATGCACTGTGAGGGTATGAGCCTCTGGCCGGGGCCCATTGGGGCATGCTGATCGGAGGAAAGGGGACTACGTGCACTGATTCGGGTGGGTAAGCAATGTGGGAAGCTTGGACTATCTCTTCCTTTCCCTGGCCAGGTCCCTGGAAGCTCCACCCCTTCTTGCCTGCAAGTGAAAACAAAGGTTGCACAAGCCCGCCTCAAACCAATGCCATGCAGGTTGCTTTGCTTCCCGCTCTGGGAGCCACAGCAGAAAGCGGCAGCCAGAAGCACTCATGGCAACATTTCTGTAGTCTCTGTTAATTCTGCCACTATCGACGGACCCCAGCAAGTCCTCTGCCACTGTCTCCCACCCCAGAGGGTCAACAAGCCTCATCACACCCCGCTCTCCACAGCCACGCCACACACGCACACCCCCAGCCCAAGCCGCACACCCTGGTGACTCCCGCGTGCCCCAGCCCTGACAGCCAGGCTCACCCCTCACTGAAGCCTCTAAATGCAAATGGCACAAGCGCCTCTTTTCTTGTCATGGGATGTGGCCTGTCGTGGTGTGTGGTCGGGGGCGATTGGGGCTTCGCCATCTTGGGGCTTCGCCATCTAACCCTGCAGTCTGTCTACCCCACTGGAACACAAGCTCCAAGAGGACTGAGGGGGCCTGACATGCAGCATGCCCTCAGTAAGAACCGGTTATAGAAGTCTAGGCCTCGGGGCGCCTGGGTGCTCAGTCGTTAAGCGTCTGCCTTCGGCTCAGGTCATGATCCCAGAATCCTGGGATTGAGCCCCGCATCGGGCTCCCTGCTCTGTGGGAGGCCTGCTTCTCCCTCTCCCACTCCCCCTGCTTGTGTTCCCTCTCTCGCTGTGTCTCTCTCTGTCAAATAAATAAATAAAATCTTAAAAAAAAAAAAAAAAAAGAAGAAGTCTAGGCCTCGCTCCGGCGTGGAGTGGTAAAGAAAGTAAGCAAAGGCAGGTATGCAAAGTCCCTGGGAGCCTAGAGGCATCCCTCACTGTGGATGCCAGACACAGAGCACATGTGTGTGGAAATACCCTGAGGCCCATGGAGTGGGAAGTGGAGGGAGCACTGTGGAGCTTGTCGATAACAGCCTTGATAGGCTAGGAAAAGGATTTTTCCTTCCTGCCTTGAGGCAGTTTGAGTTCTAAATGTTTGACCACATGAGATGGTCTTCGAGACTATCGGCTCCCTATGAGTCAAGCTCCTGACAGCGCCCTTGTGCTACCTGGGGCTTCCAAGCCAGCGTGGCCAGTGGGCTCTGAGGGTGGAATGGGGAGGAAGGACCAGATATGGCGTCTAGTTTGTCCAAATCAGCAACACGCTGGACCTCACAGAGAGTCATGTGCCCATCAGACTCCCACAGCCATTTCTCAGTCCAACCCAAACTGGCGGGGGGGCAGGCAGCTCTAGTTCCATGAAGAGACACTGGAGGGTCTGAGGTAAAAAGGAAAGCGTACGGATGAGGAACTAAAGGTAAAATGAGAAGGAGAGGACACTGGCTTGTTGGCACTCGCTCCCCGGTGCAGATGCTGACCAGGTAGTATGGTGTGGGGAAAAGAATGTATGTGTAAGGAAGCTGGTGGTGAGGAACACAGATCAAGACGCGGCTCCCAGTCTACTCATAGCCGGGTGTGTGCTTACGGGCTCACTCCACGAGTGCCTTAGGCACAGTGCCAAGAGGTCTGGGAGTGTTTGGTGGGGGGAGGAATGACGTGAAGCCGGGGGCTGATAAGCCGGGCAGACAGGAGGAGCGGAGGATGGGTCACCAGCCTCACCTGGAGGTGGCGGCCAGGGATAGATAGGATTAGGAGGCACCACAGACGTTAGATGGGCAGACTCTGGCAACTGATTGGATGTGAGGAAGAAGGAGCATAATGATTTTCCAAAGGACATTGAAAAGTGGCTCAAATAAAAGGCTGGGCCACTGGGTTATGTGCTTTCCGTCTGGGCCATCAGCTGGGCAGCTAGGCAGAACAGCCCAGAGATGCTCTTAGCTCGGCTTCTGTAACACTCAGGAGGAATGGGCAGCCAGTCCCGGCAGGGACACCCATCCCTCTGCCTCTTGGCTCCCTCTGCTGGCAGCTTTAATGCACACATTCCTGAGACCAGCGGAGAATTTATTTTGGTGACTGGTTTTATGTTTGTTTCAGAATCTGGGGCAGACAAATGCATTTGGTAAGCATTTCATAAATAGGATGCGTGAGGACAGTCAACACTCCTGCCCCTTCCCTACCCATCCCTAGGTCCTCTCTGGCCTACCTTAGCCTTTCATTGTCAGCCCAGAACTTGCCTCAAAGCTGCTTTCCAACTAAATCTTGGCTATGTCCCAGGGCAGGAGGCCCACAGCCTTCAGGCCCACATGGACCACCCACCCGACCAAAGCCAGGAGTAGTGAAGACCCTTACCAGGGACTTCTTCCAGCTTATGACCCCTGCACCACCCCAGGAAGTCAACCAACCTCTCTAAAACCAGGCGGTTGACAGTCTCACTGTCCACGGGTGGCAGGTTCAGGGTTTCCTGCAGCATCGTTAGCTTTTTTTTCAGGCTCTTGGGGAAGGAAAGAGAAGAGTGTGAAAGGAAGGCTGAGGCAGCAAGTCCAGAGAGACTGTCAAGGACATGACAACATGCACGACAGGCAAGCCCACTGGGAACAGAGCAAGGCCTGAACCCCCAATATCCTGAACCCCCTGGATCACCTGGCCTCAGAACCCCTCTCTGGTGAAGCCTCTCCTCTGGTGAGGCTATAGCCCTGGGGATATAGGTACAGGACAGGCTGTAGGGGAAGACCCATGGTGCTGTCTGTCCCCTACTGAGGAGGCCCAGGTTCCAAATCAGGGCCAAGGTACACATCCTGACCCACTCTGACCCAGGAGGATGCAGGGAACCCAGAACCACCGCCACAGACTGGGACACAGGTTTCTAGGTTCTCGGAGGACACAAAAATGACCCCTCGTTCCCGTCTGGCCAGGGATGTTCCTTACCACAATCTCCTTGTCAGCACTCTGTAAATCCTTCTGGGCCGACTTCAGCTCCAACTTGGTCTGGTCTAGTTCAGAGTAGACTGTCTGCAACTACAAGAAAGTATAGGGAGTAAAGGACAGGCCAGCAGATGGCCATGTGCTCTGCCCCCACCTGCTGCTACCCAGTGCATGCTCACAGAAGCCCAGGGTCCAGAAGAGTCTGAGGACACATGGGGAGACCGTGGCTTTGTGGGGCCTGTCCATGCCCATCTGGAGCTGCCCAGGAACTAGGGCTGCATTCTAAACCCGACAGCCCATGGATGCACCGGGCCCAGAGATAAAGCAGCTGTGCTGACTGAATGGGGTTCCAGGTACGTTCCTCTTACTCTGGGCCTGGGACAAAAGGGCGCCTCTAACACTGTCACATTCAGGATCTGCCCGGAGCCAGGAAGGATAGAAGGTAGCGTAAGTGTGCACGTACTGGGGGGGATGCCTGCATGACCTGCCACCCTAAGGGGACAAGCCACAGAGCCAGAGCCAAGGCCCAGTAACCAGTCTCTGTGAATCACCCAGAGGCCCTGTGGAGTCTGCTGCACCAACAGGCCCCATGGCTTTGCTCAGGAGACAGGACTGAGCACGACAAAAGGATAGCCCCTGCTCCCCTCACCTTCTGCTCCCCACCATTACCTTGCTTTTGGAAGAAAACAAGTCTTTCTTCAGTCTGTCCGCCAGCTCCCCTGAGGCCTTCCGTGCCTCTTTTAGATTCTCATACTCTCTATGAGGGGGCCAGGAAAAGAGATGTCAGAATGGGGCACCCTGCTGGTCAGACTGCACCACAGCACCGAACAAACGCAAAGCCCAGGCTGTCCCCTCAGCCAGTTCTCGTTCCTACTCTGACACCTGAGCCCAGCAGCGTGGTGTTGCAGAAGGTCCTGCAAGGAGAGCAGGGGAGTCTCTGTTCCCTGCCTGTCCTGCAGGCACTGGTGATTGGAGAGGGTTTGCAGGAAGCCCTGCCCTCACGAAGAGGCCCCCTATACCACGTGGCCCTCATAGGAGACATCTGGGATCCTCCGTGCCTGTCAGCCAAGTAGCCCCCTTTCCCCAACCTCACATCCACAGTAGCAAAGTTTCTGATGCAAGTCAGGCAGAGTCGGTGAGTGCTGATAGGAAACAGGCTCCATTTATCACGATGGGGCTTATAGCCCAGAGAGTGGTGCCAACCTTCTTAGAAATAACATTTATATTCACATTCTCTCAATAACCCAATGAGGCAAGTTATTACTATCTCCATTCAGGAAGCTGTGGGTCAGAGGCCAAGAAACTGGCTCGTGGCCACTCGGTAAGAGGTGGGGTCAGGGTTCAAACTGAGGCAGCATAGCTCCGGAGCCCGCCCCTTAGGTCTGCCTGCTCTGCTTTACAAGAGATGGGCAGCAGAGAGGGGCCGTGGCTTAGCTCCCAGACTGGGCCACAGGGGCCGGAGTACGCACTTCTTGAGGGACACGCAGTACACGGTCAGCTGCTCCACCGCGGACTGCCCCACACCCATGTCTCGGATCATCTCCTCCACCTCGGGCCGCTGGCTCTGGAGCAGGAGCTCGATCCTGAAAAACACCCAGCCCACGGCATTTACAACCTGGAGGCTGATGGGTAGGTACCCAGTGCAGCTCGGCTTTCCCTTGCTGCTGTTGCTATGGTGACAGCCTGGTCTGCCAGCATGCTTCAGCAGGCGGGTCTACCCGAAGGAAGGCCCCACAGCAGAGCTGAACACAGCTGCAGGGACGCTGCTGGGGAAGGATGGGTGCTGACAGGTCCTCAACGTCAGGGATCCTTGGAGAAAGGTCTCTGGAGCACAAGACCTGCCAGGTCACCGGGCCACGGGCAACAGGAAGAGGGAGGACTGAGGCAAGGGGCCCCATGGAAAGCGGAGGAGCCCACCGAGGCCGAGCGAGGACACCTGGGCCCACACCCAGTTGGCCTGAACCCCACATGGCCTACGGAGGTTTGCGCCACAGAGGGGCCGACCCCTACTGCAGTCCTAAGAGCTGGGCCCTCTGGGGGCCGCAGGAGCAAGGGCAGAGGGAGTCCCCAGCTCCGGGCTCACCGCTCCATGGTTTTCATCTTGCTCCTGAGTCGGCGCGCCTCCTCCTGGGCTTGTTTGCTCTCGTCCTGCTGCTGTTCCAAGTACTTCATCTGCTTCTGAAGAGCAAACACACCCGTGCCTACCTGTTGTTTGGACGATCCCAGGGCCCGTGGCTAAAGTCATCCTGAGACCTCCACTCTAGAACTGTCTGCTTTTCCAAGTGCTGATAACCGTGTGTGCCCAGCCTCCAGGGAGGAAGGCTCCGGGGCCCCACTCTGGCTTGTGCTTTTTCTGCTATGAGGCCCAATGCCAACTGCTTCCTCACCTCCCTGCTTGCTTCCTCCTGAGATATGTCTTACCCCAGGCACAACCCACTGCCACTAGCTAGAGGCCCACTGTGGGCTGCCAAGGTCCTGTGGCCTAAGGGCTCACGGTGCATGTCATGTAGGAAGCTGAAGAAACACAAATCCAGGTCTCATTATCCACCATCTAGACCCAAGGACAGTTATCAGTCAGGCTAGGAGAGCTGAACCAGAGGCAGCTAGCCAGGCTGCCCTCAGCACAAAAGCACTCCATCTCTGACCTGGGAATGCTATCAAAGATGCCCGCTCTGCAGCCAGGTCCTGATTCACTCCTTCCCTCCCACTGGCCAGGCCACGTGATCCAGCCCAGCCACCAAGCAGGAACAGAGACAACGAACACCCTGGGGCTCTGTCTGTTCACAAAGATGGCTCCCTTTCCCTTTCAAATGGCATCCAGCAAGGACTGCTCCTTCTTACGAGGCCAGAATATCAACTGCGGGCTCAGATCAATCGCCTCATGCCCCTTAGAGAGCAAGAGGCTCACCAACCCAGGCTGATACAAAATTCATCTGGGTCTAGAGCGGCTTGCTCTGCAGGCTTTGATCTGCCCGGTCAGCTCAGCACAGCTGACTTCAAAGGCCCACTGCTCCTCCTTGGGATGCTGTTTGATCTGGCTCCAGAGAGCAGCCCAGCCAAGGACTAGAGTGCTAATGGAAGGTTCTTCCGTCTGGCTTCATCGGTGGAGTACAAACCACTTTTGGAAACAAGGTCCAGCCTCACTGAGGTCTTGGCTGAGCTGCCCCTCTGAGAAGCGCCGGGAAGGCCTCACCTCTTCAGACTACTCGGTACAAAATCCATAAGCACAGTCAATATGACCCCTCGCTTACGGACTGGATGGGTACAACACTGGAGGCCTGGGGAAGAAGGGATTTGCCTCCACTTTATAACTGCACAAACGAAGGTCATGACCAAGGCAGAGCCAGAAGATAAGGCCAACGGACTTGTGCCCACAGGACCCGGGGACCCACCTTGAGGGTGGAGCACAGCATTTCGGCCTTGTCTAAGGCCTTCTGCAGAGATTCCACAGTGGCGTTGCGCTCTTCCAGCGTGTCCCGCAGGGTGTCAATGATGATCTGGCTGTCCCTTTTCTCCTTCTCTGCAGCAGGGGTGGGAAGGGGGAAGGCCCGTTCACCCATCAGCATAAGAACCTGAGCCCTTGGGCTCCAGCACTGCACCCCTGAGTCAGGTAAGGAACAAGTCCCCGGTCAGCAAGTTGGGTGGCCCACTTCTCTCTCTGGCATGCACCAAACCAGGGAAGCTAAGCCAGAGTCTCTTCATTCAGGGGATGAGACCCTCTTTCTGTTGCTTAGAACTACCTGAGTAAAGATTTCACCGCTGTCCACTCCCATGGGTCTAGTTAATTCATCATCTTAGAACCCAAGCAGGTTTCCTGCCAAACTCAGCAGCCAAACACTCTCCCAGAAATAGTCTGTCCCATTAGGCAGCCCCCTCCCAGCCTCGGTCCTGGGCAAGTAGCCTCAGACAAGAAGAAGCTCATCTGGCCTAGGAGGATGGCTTGAGGCACCTCCCTTTCCTCTCCTTTCCTGCCAATCACAAGAGCCGGCAAAACTCTTGGATATAGAAAGCAGGGAGAGCCCCTAGCTTCACCAGAAGGCTAGAGGCATTCCTCCCAGGGCCTCTCCCCCAAGCACCTAGGTCAGGAGCTTCCCAGGGCCCCCTGTCTCTTACTAACTCACCTTTCTGGGAAAGCTGGGCTCTCGTATTATCCAGTTCATTCTACAAGGCAATATCCATAATAAGAAGCAGAAAAGCATCATACCTGGCTTCCATACGGCATCCCAAAAAGCTTGCAGGGAGATCCAGGAGGTGAAAGTGAGGCCTGTAGGTCCAGGGAGGCACAGACCCTGCTATATGTCACGGCCAAGCTAAGCCAACAGTGAAGAGATATGTCTTGCTTTATCTCTATGCTTTTTTTAAAAAGTAGGTAAGATGGAGGAAAATAATCTCAAGTACAAGACACTGGCACAGGGAAGGAGGCAGTACAGGGGCAAGAGAAGCGAAGCTAGACCTGTGTGATCAGTCTCACAGCCAAGGCCTCCATCACCTCCTTGGCCCTGTGCTGGCCCTTACACTCTCTGGGCTTCAGCTGTACTCACTGGGGACACAGAGTGCGGATGGCTAAGGACCTTGGGTCACCACTCCTTCACTGCACCCCAGGTCCTGCTTGCTTCAGGCTACTTCTCTCCAAGCTCTGAACTCACTCTGTGTGCCACGAATCTTCCAACCCTGATGAGGTAGGTAAGCTGGGACAACTTTATGTCTCCGGATGAAACCTCACACGTGCTGGGCTCTAACCACACTACTGTGAGGGTCAAATGAACCTCTCAAAGCCCGTACGTAAGTTACAGAGCCACGGCCACAGAACCACTGAGAGGCTCCCACTCAGGAGTCCGGAGCACTCAACACCCCCGTGGGCAAGAGAAGTTTTCCATAAGCAAGAAAACCAGGCACTGCAGAACTGAAAGGCTTGGCCAAGGAAGGGTTCATGGTGGTAGCAGGATGGAATCCAGGCAAATCTTCCTCCAGATCACCCTTTCCAGGTCAATACAAGACTCAGAATTTCACATGTGACAAATACTAAAGCCCAGCCCCAGTAGGATAAGCTCCCTGCTGTGAAAATCCCCACCCAGGACTCTGGGGCAAAAGCTTTTGGTGGCTGGGCGGCTCAGCGTAGGCAGAACATCCTGGAGTGCAAGTGGTGGGTAGAGAAGGGCATGCACGTACTGCCAGAGAACAGACACCAACCCAAAGCTCCCCCGAGTCCCCTGGCCCCCACACCTAAGCAAGGTACCTACAAGCCCTTGCTCCAAACCACTCAAGATGTTGTCTCTCTGTCTCCTAGATCTGGCTTTGAAAGCCAGAAAGAAACGAAGCTGCCTTTGTTGTCTTTATCACAGGGAGGACGCAGCTTAAAACCAGGAGCAGTTACCATGACGATGAACATGCTGGCTTTAGCACAAAAGCTCTACGTTCTTGAAGCAGTAAGGTTCCAAGGACATCACGGCACCCTGGGGCCAAGGCCAAATGAACCCTGGGCTGACAGGTGCCCAGCAAATGAACCCGCAGAGTCCAGGTACATTTCGAACCCCAATCGTGCTTCCTCAAGAGGTTTTGGCCAATCCAGCACAAAGAAAGTTAAATCTTGGGCTTGAAGGGAAGCAGTGTAGGGGGGAATTCACCCATTCTCCCCTGCATTGTGGGTTTCTGCCCTGGCTCACATCCTGATTCCAGGGGTTCTGCCCTCCATTCCTGGCCTGGGAAAGACTCAGGCACCTGGATATATACCAAGCTTCCCCACAGTTTTGAGGCACAGACAGGTTTGTGAATAGTGGGTCCACACATCTTCCCTGGCTGAGGACTAGAAGAGTTTTCTGATCTGTATCTAGCTGTCCAAGCAGCAAAGTGGGCTGGGAAGGATGGCTGTAGAAGCTCTGCAAGGTGAGAGAACGTCGGGAGAGACACTCTGGTCTTTGGAAGGAATTACTCTGAAATCCCAAGGGTGAAGGCTCACAGTCACGTGGCTCCTCTCTGCCCTAACAGTGTATTTCTCCAATGACTGGGTCTTATCATCACTTTTCCTCTGCTCTGCTCCCCTCTGCCTTGAAACCTCTATGACTCTCCCTCCAGACTCCATCTCCACAATCTACACACCCACCCTGTGAGGGAGCAGAGAGTAAATTCTCAGACGGCTTGGGGTTCAGTAGAAGGACATAAATCCTGGGTACCTTTAAGAATTCTGCATCTAAGACACTCTCCTCCTCTTGGGCAAGGTCAAAGAAGAGCTTATTGATAACGGTTCTTCTGCCAACCTGGATGGAAGGACAAGACAGAGTATGACTGTATAGCTGGGTCATGTGCAAGGATGACAGGGATGTACATGCAGCTGAACATGCAGCCAGGCCTGTTCTCAGCCCTCACTTTTCATGGCACATCCCTTGGAATCAGATGAGCTCTGTAACCCTACAGTCACCCCACGCTGGTGCCACTGGTTTGGTGGTTACTAAAGTCATGTCACTGCAGACCCATGAGGTGACTGTTCAAAAGATACCCCAACTCTAGCTGCTGGGCATTGAGGATGGGGAAAGGCAAGGAAAGAGGCTAAATTTACCTAGGTGAAAACCGGCCCGGGCAACAAGTCTATCTGCCAGCTACTCTTGGGCATAAGCAGGCCTCCTGAGCCACTTACGAGCACAAGGCTTAATCAGCCTCAAACCAAGAGGGCCCAAAAAGGTCAAAGATACTGTTCAGTTTCAGAGATCTTCCCTGATTCCTGCTCCCTGGCAAGGAAAAGATGTCTTCAGCTGAGGTGTTTTCACCCCATCACCCTCACCTGGATTCGGCACTGGGGGCAGGTCCGACTTGGTGCTGTCTCAAACCACTGAATTAGGCTGGAATGAGAAGCAGAGAAGCAGACTGGTGAGCCCTTGCTTGGGCAGACACACAGGCCAGGTGGGCACCCTGACCACAACAGTGTCTGCCTCACTCCTGCTCGGCCTGACACCTGACCACGAAGGAGGGCAGCACCACAGGTGACACAGCACATCCCACAGGGCCCCACTGGTACAAGCATTCGGACCAGGGGCGCCTGCATGGCTCTGTCATTGAGCGGCTGCCTTCGGCTCAGGTCCTGGTCCCAGGGTCCTGCGATCGAGCCCCGCATCGGGCTCCCTGCTCAGCGGGCAGCCTGCTTCTCCCTCTCCCACTCCCCCTGCTTGTGCTCCCTCTCTCACTGTCACTCTGTCAAATGAATCAATAAAATCTTTAAAAAAAAAACAAAAAAAACAAGCACTCAGACCAGTTGGCCCTTTTTTTGGCCCTGTTAGGGTCCTCCCGACCCCTGAGCTGCTCTTTTGTCAGCATTCGGGTCTCTGACTGGGAGGGAGCAGGAGCCAAAGTTCAGGGTCCCTCAGAGATGGGGTTTCTAATAACACCCCCACTTTAAGGTGGGACTCCAAAGGGCTAAGCTTTCAGAGGAAGGGTAAACTAGAAGCAAATGCAAGTCGTGGGAAAAGCAAAATACAGTCCAGCTTCATATCCTCTATGTGAGTGGTCCAACAAAACCTCAAGCCTTCAACTCTAATTAGTCTCCTACTAGTAGACTCTCCCACCAGAGACCAGGGAGAAAGAGTCCTTTCTGGAAGATAATACCATCATCCCAGGCCTTAGTTTTTTTTCTATAAATAACTTTCCGTATATTAGGACAAGATAAATTCAAAGGTAGCCAGGCACAGTGGAATACTATACAGCAAAAAGAATGAATGAGTCTACAACTGAGAACAATATTACAGATGAATCACATACACATAACATTGAGGAAGAGAAGCCAGACACAAAAAGGTATATTAGGTATGATTCCATTTACATAAAGTAAATGTTTTAGTTGTTTTTTTTCTTTTAAGTAAATAGACAAGGAAAAAAGCACTACACGTGCAAACCAGAACATATGCACGAGGACTTCGGATACGGGAACTGTCAGACACAACATAATACGGCATGCTAACGAAATAAAAATCAGGACTGAAAGTATCAGTAGACGGGCGCCTGGCTGGCTCAGTCGGTACGGCATGTAACTCTTGATCTCGGGGTTGTGAGTTTGAGCCCCATGGTGGGGGTAGAGTTTATTTTAAAAAAGAACAAAATTTATCAGTAGAGAACTACAGAATAAAAGGTGACATGGCAGAATTTAATAAGCACCAAACATAAATTCTAAAATTAAAAATGGCCAAAATTAAGAATTGGATGGATGAGTTTAACGAGTTAGGCACAGTTGAAGAATTAGTAAAATGAAAAGACAGGTCAGAGAAAACACTGAGACTTAAAAAGATGGAAAAATATAGAAGAGATGACAAAAGATATAAAAGATACTGTGAGAAGGTCTACCATACATATAATAAGGAATTCCAAAAAGAAAGTATTAGGTGGAATTATGCATTTTCCCCAAGAAGTCTATGTCCTAATTTCTCAAACCTGTGAATATTTCCCGTTATATGACAATAGCAATCTTGCAAATGTGATTAAGGATCTTGAGACAGGGGGCTCCTGGGTGGCTCAATCAACTGAGTGTCCACCTTCGGTTCAGGTCATGATCCCAGGGTTCTGGGATCAAGCCCCACATTGGGCTCCTTGCTCAGTGGGGAGCCTACTTCTCCCTCTGCCTCTTCCCTCTACTTGTGCGCTTTCTCTCTCTCAAATAAATAAATAAATCTTAAAAAAAAAAAAAAAAAAGGATCTTGAGACAGGGAGATTATCCAGGTGTGCCCCCATGTAATCACAAGGGTCCTTAAGTGAAGCAGTAGTGTCAGAGGCATACAGAGAGATCTGAAGATGGAGAATGGGGCCACGAGCCAAGAAGGGCATATCCCCATTTACAAACATTGACTATAATCCAGTAAACTCATTTTGGACTTCTGATCTCTGGAACTGCAAGATAATAAATCTGTGTTGTTTTAAAACACCAAGTTAGGGGCACCTGGGTGGCTCAATCGTTCGGCGTCTGCCTTCGGCTCAGGTCATGATCTCAGGGTCCTGGGATCGAGCCCCACATCAGGCTCCCTGCTCCGCGGGAGGCCTGCTTCTCCCTCTCCCCTCCCCCTGCTTGTATTCCCTCTCTCGCTGTGTCTCTCTCTGTCAAATAAATAAAATCTTTAAAAACAAACAAACAAACAAAAAAACACCAGGTTAGTATTAATTTGTTTAAACAGAAATGAGAAACTAGGGCGCCTGGGTGGCTCAGTTGGTTAAGCGACTGCCTTCGGCTCAGGTCATGATCCTGGAGTCCCTGGATCGAGTCCCGCATCGGGCTCCCTGCTCGGCAGGGAGCCTGCTTCTCCCTCTGACCCTCCCCCCTCTCATGTGCTCTCTCTCTCTCATTCTCTCTGTCTCAAATAAATAAATAAAATCTTAAAAAAAAAAAAAAGAAATGAGAAACTAATATGAAAAGAAAAGAGATAATGGAATAGAGACAATACGTGAAAAGATAATGGCTGATAATTTTCCAAAACTAATTAAAGAAACTGTTCCACAAGTTAGAGAACCATAAGAATCCCAAGCAGGATAAGTAAAAAAATGGTAACAAAAAGAGCTGAAGTGCTATGTTATTGTCAGACAAAATAGACTTTAAGTCAAAAAATGTTACAAAAAAATAAAGAAGGACTTTATATTTTGATAAAAGGTACAATCCAACAAGAAGAAATAACAATTATAAACATACATGTACCTAACAACAAAACCCAAAAATATATGGAAGAAGATTGGACAGAATTAAAGAGAGAAATAGACAGTTCTACAATAAAAGTTGGAGATGTCAATAATCCACACTTTTAATAATGGGTAGAACAATCAGACAGGTAATCAATAAGGAAATAGGGGACTTGAACAACATAAACCAACTAGATCTAACCCACAAATACTCCACCCAATCACAGCAGAATACACATTTTTCTCAAGTGCACAAGGAACATTCTTCAGGATAGACCATATGTTGGGCCACAAAACAAGTATTATTAAATTTTAAAAGATTAAAATAATACAAAGTATCTTTTGTGATCACAATGGAATGAAACTGAAAACTAGTAACAGAAAAAAAAAACTGGAAAATTCGCAAATATGTTGAAATTAAACAACACACTCTTAAACAACTGATGGGTCAAAGAAGAAATCACAAAGGAAATTAGAGAATACCTTGAGATGAGTGAAAATGAAAACACCACATACCAAGACTTATAGAATACAGTGAAAGCATGCTAAGAGGGAAATTGATAGCTGTAAACACAGACATTAAAAAAAAAAAGCACCCATTAGATAACTATTATAAAAAAACAAACAAAAACAGAAAATAACAAGTGTTGACAAGGATGTGGAGAAATTGGACCCTTGTGCATTGCTGGTGGGGTTGTAAAATGGTGCAGTCAAAGTGGAAAACAGTAAAGCAGTTTTTCAAAAAATTAAACATAGAATTACCATATGATCCAGTCATTCCACTTCTGGGTATAACTCAAAAGGAATGAAAGCAGGGACTCGTACAAAAACTTCTAAACCAGTTCATAGTAGTATTACTCATAGCAGCCAAAACATGGAAACAACCCAAGGTCCATTAACAGATGAAGGGATAAACAAAATGTGGTACTTCCATACAATCGAATTTTAGTCATAATAGGAATGAAATTCTGATACATGCTACAACATGGATGAACTTTGAAAACATTATGCTTAGTGAAGCAAAACTCGAAAGAAAAATATTGTATGCTTCCACTTATATAAGATACCCAGAATAGGAAAACTCAAGGACACAGAGGGTAAAATAAAGGTTTTCAGGGCAATGGGGAGGGGGTAATGAAGAGTTGTCGTTTAATTGGTACAGTGTTTCTGTCTGGAATGATGGTAAAGTTCTGGAAACAGATAGCAGTGAAATAGATAAAGGGAATTAAGAAGTACAAACTTCCAGTTATAAAATAAGTAAGTCATGGAGATGAAAAATACTGCGTAGGAAATATAATCAGTAATACTGTTGTATGGGGGCGCCTGGGCAGCTCAGCCGGTTGGGCGTCTGTCCTCCACTCAAGTCATGATCCCAGGGTCCTGGGATCAATCCCACATTGGGCTCCAACCCCACATTGGGCTCCCTGCTCAGCAGGGAGCCTGCTTCTCCCTCTCCCCTTGCATTCTCGCTCTCTCTCAAATAAATAAATAAAATCTCTTTTTTCTAGATTTATTTATTTATTTATTTGACACAGAGAGAGAGCGAGAACAAGTAGGGGGGAGTGGAAGAGGGAGAAGCAGGCTCCCCGCTGAGCAGGGAGCCCATGAACCCTGGGATCATGACCTGAGCCGAAGGCAGTCGCTCAACCAACTGAGCCACCCAGGCGCCCCATAAATAAAATCTTAAAAAACAAAACAAAACACTGTTGTATGGTGACAGTGACCACAATTATCGTGGTAAGCATCGAGTAATGTGTAGAATTGTTGAATCAATATGTTGTGCACCTGAAACTAATATAATATGGTATGTCAATAATATTTCATTTAAAAAAAAGAGCTCTGAATCAACCAGGCCACACCTGCTAGGGGAATCTTTCCTCACCAGCTGTACGTTCAAAGGGTCAGCAGGACGGCTGGATCAGGGAGGACCTCCTTGCCCTTCCATGGATTTTTGGTATTTTTTAAAGATTTTATGTATTTATTTATTTATTTGAGAAAGAGAGCGAGAAGCAGACTTGCCGCTGAGCGGAGAGCCCGATTTGGGGCTCAATCCCAGGACCCTGAGATCATGACCGGAGCAGAAGGCAGATGCTTAACTGACTGAGCCACCCAGGCGCCCCCTTGCCCTTCCATGTTATCTTGGGTTTCTTGGAGTCAGTGAATACACTGGGGTGTCTGACCAACGAGATGACTCTGGGTAGAATAATCCCAAACCATCAAGCAAACCACAACAAATCGGATAGCCAGAGGCCTACCAGGTTATCTCGAAGAAATAAAAGGCCTCGTTAATTTGGCCAAAGTTTACCTCCGCCCAGAGGTGTTGAAGTCACACCTCTCTGCCAGCGGATCAAGGAGCCCCCTACTTTATCTTCACTGAACCAACTCTGTTTCCCTGGACTCAGTTCAGCTGTCACCTCCTCCGGGGAGCCTGCCCAGACCCGCCTCAGTCCAGGTCGGGAACCTACGGTGGGGCTCAGGCTAGTGCCGTCTTAATCACCTGTCTGGGCTCCGCCCGGGGACCCCATACCCCACAGTTCCGTAGCCGTACCAGGCCGAGAGCCCGGCCCCGCCACTACAGTCACTCACCACTGCAGGTGGAAGGTGTGGCCGCAGTGGATGGCGGCCACATCTCGAGAGTGGTCGAAGAAGTCGGAGCAGATGGTGCACAGCGCACGGATAGGCATGATGACTGGTCTAAAGGGGATCAGGCAGCCGAGGAAACCTCGACCCGTCCAGCTTCGCGGCCGCGCCCCCGCGTCCCCGCGGGCTTCGAATTTGGCTCCACTGCGCAACTTCCGGGAGCGGACCGGAAGTGGCTATAAGGAACGGGGAGGCTGGGTCCGGATTGGACAAACCATGGGGGGCGGGGCTTAACGACCGAAGAGAATCCTGGGGCTGAGCGCGGGACTGTCAGCTGTAATTCTCCAGTGGCTCCCGGAAGGATTCGGCGTGTACTCGCGGCAGCTACGCCATCGGCGGGCCCCTTTCTGGGGCAAGACAAGACATTATGGTCCGACGCCAGATCTGGTGCGAGGCGCGCCGGGCATTGGCTCCTCAGCCCTGTTCTGTCAGGGCAGCCTTCTCTGCACTTCGAGAGTCAAGAAGACCAAAGCCACAGGGGAATGGGACGATGGTCCCGATGGAGAGCGGTCCCCTGGGCTCTGGGCAGTGCTCGACCGTACGCCCGTAGTTCCCACAGACTAAAAGAATGCTCCACCCTCTCAGCCTTCGGCTCTGAGTGGTCCTAGAAAGATGGACACAGGTCCCAACCCCTCAGGACACCCCAAGCAAGGCATGATGATCCCTAAGTTTGGAGGCAGCAAGGCCAGTACCCTGACTTTCGCTCTTAGCTCTCAGGAGGACCAGCATGCCTCTGGACTGTATAGTGGGGTTACAATTTTGGAGGCCCAGATGCTTTATAGACCAGTGACTAACAAACCCTTTTATTGATTCCCACATCAGAGAAGTTATCTTTGGGGTTCTCCCTGAGAAAGAGCAGCATCCCTGGTGAATTCATCTGGGCCAGTCAGGACTGGAACAAGTCTTCCTAGCAGTTTTCATGCTTAACTGTTTTTAGCAGTGTTACTACCCTCTCCCCAGAAGAAACCTTATGTAGAGCCCCATGATCTAACGTTGATTTGTTCCACCTGAAGTAGACCCAGAGTGAAGTTCTTTGGGCCTGTGTGGAAAGCACGGGCATTGTCCACAGGGAGGAGGAATCAACACAAAGGGCAGCATAGAACCTTTGTGTACTGCCCACCCTGCACCCTCTCCCCAACCCAGGGAAGCCCACTTTGGCCATGGGCAAGGTCTCTCCCTATGATGGCTGGTCTGTGGTGAGTTTCAGGTATATGCCTAAGTCAAGACAAGGGCTCCTTGTTCAACAGGACTTGTCAGAACAGCAGTTCAGGGGGGTTTCCTTGGCACAAGCCCAGGACAGGACCCACCACCCACATGGATTTCTAGCGTCCAGAGGACCTGCCACAATCAAGGAACACACAGTGGTAAAGAATGATCTGTACCCAGCCCAAGCAATCCTCATGGCACTGAGCACAGACATGTGAACCTACTCCCAGCCTCTTCCCTCCCCACTGCCTTCCAGGGGCCCCTCCCCAGTAAGACAGAGGAAGCAAAGGCAAGAGGATGGCCAGAGGCTTTGGCAGGGTGACATTTATTTGCCAGGTTCAGCAGGCACACAGTTAGCCTACCGACCTTCATACACCAGAGCAGACCCACAGGCATGCAGGGAGAAGGGCAGGACTGCCACCGGAGTGCCGAGCAAAGGCCGGGACCAGTGTGGCTGCCTGCCCAAGCTGTGGTGGGGTCTGACAAAGGGCACCTGCCAGGAGCCTCCATCAGGAAATTGGGGAGCCTTATTCCACTTCCTCATCCCAGTAAAAGCAACTCAGCATAGCTCAGAGGCACCTGGGCCTCTCTCTAAGCCCTGACAGAAGGGGAAATGGGTCACAGACATAGAGGGGTGGGGGTGGGGGTTCCTCTCTATTTTATTTTTCAATTAGGAGAGCAGAAATCTGCCCCTGTGAAGGGCAAACCTCAAATCAGATTATGGGACACTGCCATGTGGCAGGCCCCCTGGGATGGAGAGGACTGTAGCCTGAGCCTGAGGAACACCATCAGAGAAGAGCCAAGGGCTATCAGCCTTCCCTGTCTGGCTCAGGGTAAGGACCCAGCTAAGCTGGTGCACTAGGTACTGGGCCTACACTCTGCCTTCCCAGTTTTCATTGCCACATCCCAACTGTTCCCTCCTTCCCCTTACAGGCTCATGAAGCTCAGGGCACAGGGCAACCCACTGCAGAACCCAGGAGGGCAGGAAATACCACAAGGATATTATTGGTGGGAACTCTCCAGGAACAAAGGTGGACGTTTCTACCCCCCTATTCATTCTCTTTCACTTCTGAGGACCCCCAAAGCTACCAAGCAGTGCCCCCAACCATGCGACCAGTCTTGTCTTAAAGCATACTGCCCTAGATTTGTACATTCTCTATACCAGCCTGTGTCCATTCTTAGAGCAGCCCACATACCACAGGCACATACCTTCATGTGCAGGAGCCTAAGACCGCTGACAGGGCCTCGCTGGAGGACCAGCTCTCAGGGCAAGGCCACCCAAGTTTAGGGCCTGGGAGAGGATGGGACCTGCAGGGCCTGCCTGGGGAAACTGTGAGGCAAAAAGGGAAGGGGAAAGGGAGCAGGGACCTCCTGAGTATCCCTAGAGCAGCATCCCGCAAGGAACAGAAACTGGTGAAGCTAGCGAAAGACAGAAAAGCCACAAGGAATCCATGCAGGGGCTGGGGCCGGTCCTGCCTCTGGCCTGCCCACCACTCACGCACATACACACAGGAGATGAGACTGCTCTCCCGTGGCCCCCAAACATGCCCCACACTGGGAGGCAGGGGCAGGAAGGAGCAAGGGCATCATGCCAGTGACTCTTATGTACAGTGAGAAGCCCCTCATCCACTCTCCCACCCTCCTGCCCGCCCCCTGCCCCACGCCAGCCTGCTCACTCAGCTGGTCTCCTCCCTCCGAGACTCCTGGGCATAGCCAGCAGCCTCTTCCCCTTTACTAGAGGGTGGAGCCTGGCCTGTTGTGCCCCCGGGGGCTGTGCTGTCCGGCTGGGCCAAAGCCGGCTCAGGGGTGGCAGCTGCCTTGGTGGCTGGTGTGACACTGCTCTGGGTGGTGGGCATGGTGCTCTCTTCCGTGGCTGGTGTGGCTCTCCCATCAGTGGCTGGAGTAACACTCCTATCGGTGGCTGGGGTGATGCTCCCATCGGTGGCTGGGGTGATGCTCCCGTCAGTGGCTGGGGTGACACTGCCATCGGTGGCCGGGGTGGTACTGCCATCGGTGGCTGGGGTGGCACTACGGTCTGCGGGGGCTGCATTATCGCTCTTTGTGGCAAGAGCAACAGCACCCGCTGTGGCTGAGGTGGCACTGCCCCCAAGGGCTGGGGCAGCCCCACTTGCAGCTGCGGCCCCGCCTGCAGCCCCAGCAGTGGCAGTGTCTGTGGCTGGGGCAGACTGGGCTGTCGCTGTGCTGGACTGCTCTGGGGCCCGGAGCCGTTTCATGAGGGTGGTCACTCGGACAGCCTTCTGAAAGGAGGGCAGCAGAGAGAGGCCCAGAGTGAGCTTACAGAAGCCAGATCCGTTCCTTGGCAAGAGCCAAAGCCAGACTATTCTGAGCCAAAGCCTCTGACCACCCCAGGGGAGCAGGCCAGGGACCCAGCTGTTCACACACCCACGTAAGGCAGACGGTGGCTACAGCCACACCTGATGGCTGAATAAACGCCTTTGTGTGGCTGCAGGGGTGTGATACAGGCAAGAGACTGTGTGGCAGAAGGAGCTCTTGGCATCAGTCCAAGAAAGGGAGTCATCCGAGCCTTACCTTCCACTTGGCCCTGGCAAAATTCTTTTCAATCTGGGCACAGACACCATCCTTGATGTTCTTATCAGAAGCAGCATTGCCAGAAATCCTAGAAAGGGTGCAAGTGCATTGGGATCTGAGGGGGTATAGGCCTTCATGGAGACTGCCCAGCCCTCTTCTCTTAAGATCCAGAGGTTACCAGGCAGGCCCTCTGGGCTGGGCCTGAGCTCTGGGCACCCCCAGCCCCTACTCAAAGCCTCAAGGATGGGGCTACTAGATGTGAGGAGGACTAGGCCAAGGGAAACCTGGCCTCTCCTTCTGTCCTCCATGGGCCCTGCTCACCACTCATGGGAGATGGCCTCTTCTGCGGTGATGCGCTGGTCTTGCTCCACCTCCATCAGCCTTGTTACCAGGTCTTTGGCTGGGGACAAAGCCAGGGAGAGGCTAGGCATGGGCACCTCATCTCACTGTCTATGGGTGATGAATGGGCTGGGAGGTAGGAGCAGAGTCCAGCAGAGAAGGCTGAGAGCAGGTCCCCCACACCAACCCTTCCCTTTACCCACATGCTGGGCACCTCCTCACCCGCCTGTGAAATATCATCCCAATACGGAGAGTCAAACTCATAGTCGCCAGCCAGGATCTTGCGGAAGAGGTTCTTGTCATGGTTCTCATAGTCATCTTCCTCTACCTCCTCATAGAAGGGGGGGTTCCCTGAAAGCCTGCATGGGGAGCCAAAGGGCAGGGTCACCCAGAAGGCCATGGACACAGGACCCCACCCGGCCTGGCTGCAAGCCTGTTTGCCTGCCCATCCACTCACAGGATGTACATGATGACTCCAATGGCCCAGCAGTCCACAGGGCGTCCATATCGCTGCCGCCCTACCACCTCCGGGGCTGCAAACACAGTGTCCATCTGCTGGTCAGTACCAGGCCTAGGCCTGGTACCACTCACACCACTTCCCGGGCTAGACACTTCCTTCCCCCCCTACCCAGAGCCACTCCTTGAAGTCTGTCTCCCACCCTGCCCCTGCCCCACCCCCTGCTTGCCCAGGTACTCGGGAGTCCCACAGGGCTCCTTGATGAGGCCATTCTCTAGCTTAGCCAAGTGGAAGTCACTGATGACGATCTTTGAGTTCTTCAGCCGATTGTAGTAAACCAGGTTCTCCAGCTGCTCCGGGCAGGAGTGACATGTGGGTGAGCAGAGAAAGACTCCATGAGGACCCCAGAGGCTAGACTAAGACCCCAAGGTGCTGCCCACCTCAGCCCCAGGCTGGCTGCTGTCAGACCTGGTTCCTGGCCTCACCTTGAGGTTCCTGTGCACGATCTTGAGTGAGTGCAGGTAGGCCACGGCCTCCAGGACCTGCCGCACCACATTGCTCGTGTCTCGCTCGGAGTAGTAGCCCTGGTCCAGGATCCAGTCAAACACCTCCCTCCCC